TTTTTTTTGTTATTCTCTCATGTTTTTTTTAAATTTAAAATTTGTATTTCATTTTGATTTTAAAAAATTTCCTGGAGGGAATATTTTGTTTTAAAAATTTAAAAATCATTCAAGATTCCTCAGCTCGGCATTGGTTCTGTTGAAAAGCCTGTCAAATGGTTTATCTTTTTAAGAAAACAATTTTCAATGCAATATGTCAAGATAATTTTTTATATTTCAGAAGTCTTCTTTTTTAACCAGACCTGATGTCCCCTTGAAACTGCTTCCAATTCCCGTTTTCAAAAATTTGACCTCTTTTCTGGTCTTTCAAATAAACTTATTTCTTCTCTTTTTTTTACCAATTTTATTTTTTATAGATCTTGTCTTTTCATTTTTTTTCAAAATTTTTAGCAGAATTCGAAAGAAAATTTGATTGATGAATATTCCTTTCTTATGATTCAAATGAATGAACGTAACTAAATTTCAAATTAATTATTATTTTTAAATTCTCAATATTTTTTATATAATATATATATATATATATATATATATATATATAAATAATACTTTAAAAATTCATACAAAATATGAATCTCATTGAATAATCATACGGATTTTAAGTTAATTTTTTATAAGTTTTTTTTTTTTTTTAATATTTATTTTAATTTTAAAAATATTTTTTTTTTTTGATCTTTTTTAAAAATTATATTTTTCGATATTTTAATTTTGTCTCTCTTAATATATAATTGTGGTTAGAATCTTTTGCTTTTAAATTTTTATTAAAATTATAAAAATTTCAAATTCTATGTTTTTATTTTTTTTTTTGGCCGGGATTTTTTTGAATTTATGTTCTTTTTTTTTTTCATTAAATATTCAAAAAAAATTTTAAATTATATCCTAAATATTTAAATATTTTTTTTTTTAAATGGAAAAAATTTTTTTTTTGGGCAAATGAACCAAAGTTGCATTGAAAGCAAATTTTTTAAATTAAATCTAATGCCAAAAAAAAATTATTTTAAATAGATTTTTTAATGATTTTTCAGTTTGAAATTTCAGGTCCAATTATTCATTATGTCGATCATTTTTAACTTTTTTATAACTTTTTTATTAAAAAAATATTTTTTTGTTTAAAAAATCCTTTTAAATAAATATATAAATTTCTGAAACGTTAAATTCACAAAATTAGCTAAATTTAAAATTAAAAAATTCTGTTCTGAAATCCAAAAATCACGTACTTATAGCAATAAAATTTTTAGACATTTAATTTGAATTTTTTTTAATTGAGGTTTTTGTTTTTTTCGAATTTCATATGATTTTGAATTTGATTTATGAAACTGTTTGAAAAAAAACGAATCAAAAGTGACATAACTTTTTTTGTTTTCTTATTATTTAAAAAAATTGAAAATTTTTTCTTATTTATTTCATTATTTTATTAATTCATATTCCAGGATGGATTCAATAAGCTTTTAAATATAATGATAAATAAAAATTTATTAAAATTACATTAAATTAATACATTTTTAATTTATAAAAAACTATATAATAAAAAATAAAATTATTTTATATTTGGTCAATCTCTGAAAATTTCTTTTTGAAAATTTTAAATTGATTAGATAATTTTATTAAAAAATTTATTTTAATTGAATTAAAAACTATTATATCAAAGAAAAATTACATTTTATTTTTTTTTTTTTTTTTATTTTCTATTGAATAATATTTGAAACACGTGATAAAACAAACTCATAATGTCAATTCCATCATATCATACTAAAAAAATATATAACATTTTTTATAAAATTTAAAAAAAATTCTTTTTTTTAAAAATGGTTTAAAATATTTTTTTAGCATTTTTTGTATTAAGGATTTAACTTTTGGTAGTAAATAATGGTTTAAAAATTTTAAAAAAAAATAATTCCCATCAAATGAAGAATTTCAAACATTTTTTTTGGAAATTTAAAAAAAAAATGAAAAAAGAAAAATGAAAAACTCCTGAAAATAACAATCAAAAAAAATTTTGTAAAAAAAAAATTTTTTTCATCGAAAATTTTTATTTTTTCATTCTAATAATGTTCTTTTTTTTAAAAAAGAAAATCATTGAAATCTAATTTAACAAATTTTTTTGATAGTTTTTTTATTTTTTTTTTAAATTTATTTCAGATTTTAAAAAAATTTGGCATTAGTTGTAAAAAAAAAATGTTGATCAAATTTCTTAAGGAGTTAAATTTTATAAGTTTTTATTTATAAATTAATTTTGGGGGAAATGGAAAGATGTAAAAAAAAAAAAATTATCAGAATTTTCTAAAAAAAAAATATTTATTTAAAAATAAATTTTTTCAAATTTAAAATAAATTAGAAAAAATTATTTGATTTTTTTTTTCATAATTTTTTTGGCCTTATGGTCATTCAAAATTTTAAACAAAAATTCAAAAAAAAAAATTTTCATGAAAAAAATTAAAAAAAAATTTAAAAAATTTTGAATTAAATTTTAAAAACTTTGGAATTAAAAAAAAAAGGAAAAATTTTTAAAAATATTTGATATTATATTTAAAATACTTTGTTTTTTTTAAAAATAAATAAAATAAACAAAAATTAAAAATTTGTTTTATTTTATTTTTGACCTTTTTTTTTTTTTTTTTTTTTAAAATATTTTTTTGCATTAATTATTGAAATCAGGCTTTATTTTTTTTTTTTGATAAAAACAATGTCTGAAGAATATCGATTCGTTTTTTTTAATTTAGGAATTGTTCTTGCATTAATTGTCAATAAGTTTTAAAAATTTTCATTTTTGTTTAAAAAAAATGAAATCTTATAATTTAATTTTTAAATATAAATTTTTAATCCACAGACAGACTGTTTCCCCAAGTTTTAAGGAAAAATGTTTAAATTTTTTTTTGTCCGGTTATATATTTATATAATTTCTGAGATGATATTTTGTACAGTATTTACATTAGTCGGACTATTGTCCTCATCTTTGTCGCCATATTTGTCACAACGTTTCGGCCGTTGTACGCTCCGGCCTTCTTCAGGTGGTTGGAATTTCGAACTGAACCCTTTATTTCGATCACTGGGGTAGACTGTTCTAGTTCCACGTGCCATGTTTAATGGATGTCAGTTATCAGTTATCTCCTGCTAATTTCCCTCTGAAAGTTCTCCACTGCCTTAACCAGGTATTGAACTCACCTTCTTTGGGTCTGTCACTGGACCTAACCAACGACATCCACTGTGCCATGTGTCCTTGAGGACATCTGGGTGTGAACTTCTGAGTATTATAAACCTAATGTTTTCAGCATCATTTTTATCAGTGCTCATATTGCAATTTTTTTGGTTTTTTTGCATGTCTTTACCAGAATTCATATTGCAACTTTGTTATCATTGCTTTTCTCTGGAACTCCTTATTATTGGTTCCCATATTGTATTTATTTCTATGCTTGGTCGGCTCAGGAGATTTTTGTGGCCTAGCATATGTGCTGATTCCTTAAGTTTACGAATTTTCCAGTGGTGTTCCCTGTCTATGATCTCAACATGATCCCACAGGGGGCGGTGATCTCCCTTCTCTCTCCATATGTCGTCAGCCACGCCTGATTTTTCTACTTCTTGCATTACAGCTTTCTGGTGTTCTTGAAGTCTTACCTTGAGGGGGCGGCCTGTCTCTCCTTTATATTCCTTTGCGCAGCTGCACGGGATAGCGTACACACAGTCTTTAGTCATGTTCCCCTCTGTAGGGGGGGTCTCACTTGTGAGAGATATCTGCAAAGTGTTGTCATGCTTTTGAAGGTTGTCCTGATGTTATATGGACCGCAGATCCTTTGTATTTTCTCTGATAACCCCTTCACATAAGGCAGGCAGACTGTTTTCTGAGTGTTGTTGTCCTCCTCCTTGTCCTCCTTGTACCCGCCTATCCCAGTTTTTTGGGGGCTGCTGCCATGTACCCAGGGTAGTTGTTGCGTTGTAGGGTACTACTTATACTGACCAATTCCTTTATCTAACGTCTCTGGATCGCCACTTTTTTGCTCGGTGTTGTAAGCATCGGACGATCCCTTTCTTTACGCTGTATGGATGGTGGGAGTTGAAATTGAGGTACTGTCCGGTGAATGTTGGTTTACGGTATACGGATGTCTTGAACCCATTCTCTGTTCGAGATATTAGAACATCCAGGAATGGGAGTGAGTTGTTACTCTCTTTCTCCATTGTGAACTGTATCGAAGGTCTTATTGAGTTCACATGGTCCAGAAGAACCTGGACATCTTCCTGATGTGGCCAGAGTATGAAAAGTGTCATCTACGTACCTTAACCATATAGTTGGCTTTAGAGATATAGATTCTAATGCCATTTCTTCAAAGTATTCCATGTATATATTCGCCATTGCTGGTGATAATGGCGAGCCCATTGCTAAGCCCTCATCCTGTCGATATATGTGATCCCCATTCCGAAGTGTGTTGTTTTGTGTACAGAAAGTCAACATCTCCATCAGATTATCTATTGGAATACTGGTTCCGCTCCTCTAGGGAAGAGTCAGAGGTTAATCTATCTCTGACTACTGAGAGTGCCTCTCCGTGGGTACCTTGGTGAACAGACTCACCACGTCCAAGCTCACCATCTGGTTGGATAGGATGGGAGCATCTTTGATTATTTCCACGAAGTGGGCGGAGTTTCGGACATATGAAGGAGACTTTCCGATCAATGGGTCAATTATATCTACAAGGAAGCGACTCAGGGGGTGGCACACAGAGCCTTGGCAACTAACAATCGGCCTGAGTGGAATACCGTCTTTGTGAATCTTAGGGAGACCGTATATGTGAGGTAACTTGCTGTAACGCTGCGATAACTGCCTATACATCTTGGGTGCGAAGTGATCCTTGTTCTTGATTAGGATCTGTGACAGTTTGCGTTCCGTTTTCATAGTAGGATCTTTCTTCACTATGCTGTAGCTACCATTGCTAATGAGGTCTTCCAGTTTTTTTGTATAGTCCGATTTGTCCATCACTACAGTCGCATTACCTTTGTCAGCCGGTAGTATGATGATGTTCTCATTCCTCTGTAGTGATTCAATCGCCAGTCTCTCCAGTTTTTGTTATGTTAGACCTGGGCAAACTGGCTCTCTCAAAGGCCTGTCTCACTTTCCATCTCATTTCATCCGCCTGAGCCTGAGGGATGTTCAAGGCCACCTCCTCTATTCTGGCAATGATGTCCAAGTATGGCACCCGCATGATGGTTGTTTTGGCAAGTTGAGACCCTTATTCAATACTGACTCCTCAGAGGCACTCAGCTGATATTGGCTGATGTTGACTACTGCTTTCACTGGTGGGTGATGGACCTTGTGCGTCACCTTCTGATCTTTCAATCTATTTAATTTTTGCACTTGGCGAGCCTTGACTACATCAAATTCATGTCTGAAGGATTTTTATTCAGGTCATTTTGGATCCTTCTCTGGTCTTCTTCATTGGTAATTCTGTTGAAGAGATCATCGAGCGTCTGGGAGATATGAGCATGTACTCGATGTTTCATCCAACGGTTGTGGACTGGATTCTCTTTATACGGACAAGGGCGTGTCCCTTTTTTCTGCGACCCGACGAGATTCCTTGAATTTTAGGAAGTCTTGGTGCCAAGCCTGAAGGGATGAGTTGTAAAACTCTGCATCGGTGTAGGAATTAAAAAAATTCGATTTTTCGTGCCATTTTTATATTTTTTTCTCAATTTGTCTCCATATTTTTGGTATATCTGGTCCGTACCGATCCTTCAGAGTTTGTTTATATTTCTGAGATGAAAATGTTATTACAGTATTTACATTAGTCGGGCTAAAAATCCTCATTTTTTGTCGCCATATTTGTCAATGCAACGTTTCGGCTAAAAACGCTCCATTTATATTCTTCAGGTGGTTGAAATTTCGAACTGAACCCTTTAAATATTTTAATATCATTGGGGTAGACTATTCTAGTTCAATTCCACGTGCCATTAATGAATGGATGTCAGTTATCAGTTATCACCTGTTAATTCCCTCTTTGGCATTCTCCACTTCCTTAACCGGGTATTGAACCCGCATGGTTTTATCAATGGATCTAACTAACGATTTTCTATTACCACTGTACCATATATATTTAGATAACGATATGTATTTTTTAACAATTTCCCAGTAAAATTCTTTTATATAAAAAAATATACATTTCAATTATAACATATTACACACACAAACTCTCTTTAAAACATTGTTACACATTACACACACACACACACATATATATATATATATATATATATATATATATATATATATATATATATATATATATTTTATAAAATGAATTTAATAAGTAATTTTTTAGACAATAAAAATTTTGCAATTTTTTTGATATATAAAATATATTATATATAATATTCATATATATATATATATATATATATATATATATATATATATATATATATATATATATATAAACAAAAATTAGTGCATAATATGAATTTATTTAAAAATCCTAATCAATTTAATTGGAATCAATCAGAAGTATTAATGCGATTATTGGCGACATCCATCGCTAGAAAAACATAATATATGCATTAAAATCCTGTTCATCCATAGTTGTTTTTGATCCTCGTCGATAAACTTGTTGTTGTAGTTTTCTTTTATTTTTATGTTAAAATTTTAGTATAGTAAAAGGATCTGAATAGTCTTCTATTCATATTTTATCATTTATATATTTATTTTTTGAGTAAACAAAATTTGTATATAATATAAAGTATGTCGACCGAAAAATCTTTTTTAATATACAGGTATATCGTCTGAAGTTTTTGATTTTATTTATATAAAAAAAACAAATAAATTAGTCCATCTGTTGTTTTTTTTAATTGCAACCTTAAATGAAAGAGCTGAAAAAATAATTACAGTTTCTGGCCAACAGTTTTGATCAATTTTTTTTTGAAAAATTTTTAGCACTCTCAAATTCACAGCTATCGACGCTTTCAATTTCATTTCAATTAATTGGGTTTTCAGGCCCTTTCAAAATATAGAAAAACCAATCCGATAACATCAGCATGTCTTTTTTTCCTGACAAATAATGGAAGATTTGAACTGTAACATGGTCATATATATATATTTGGTGTTTATGAACACTTTTCCGCGCCCATTATATATATATATCCTATTATAAATAATTTATTAAAATATATATATATATATATATATATATATATATATATATATATATATATATATATATATATATATATATATATATATATATTTATATATTTAGTATATATTTATGATTTTTCTTTTTTAAACACATTTCATTATTTTTTTAATACCACAGACAAGGTGAATTGATTTAAAAAATTTTTTTTTTTTTTTTATCCAATTATCTAATAATTTTTTCAATGATAATTATAGCCCAAAAACTGTCCGAATGTTCTTTTTTATCCGAGCGCTTTTTATAATACATTTAGCCATTTTTTTGATGAATTATTTTAAAAAAATTAAATAATAAATAGTTTGTTTTTGTATGTATTTATATAATTTTTCATTTTTTTTTTAAAAACGGTTAATATATTGTGTCCATGTTCATGGTTGATATTATTGAGTGTTGTGTTTTGGGTTTTTATCAATAAGGCTTCCATTATTTTTAGCCTTTTTTTTTTTTAGATGATGCTATTATATTTGTGTTTTTATATTAATTAATGTTAATAATAGGTTCCAAATTGGTTCCATGAATATTTATATTATATATATATCTCTTCTTTTCTTTTTTTTTTTTAATTTATATATCCTATCTTAACTTTTTTGTTTATGGTGTGTATATGTCACCACGAAATGTACCTTTCCCTGCATTAGACATCCGTCGACTTTTCTTCTTCTCCTCTTTTTTTTTTTTTTCCCACCACATTTCCAAAAAATCTCTCTGTTAAGGTTTCATCTCCTCCTCCTAATAAATACACTTTCTCTTAAAATTCTGTTTTGATTTTTATTTGTTTTTCTTTTTCATTTTTTTTGATTTGTAGGTCTGATGATTTGGATCGTATTTAAAATTCCAATGGAATAAATTATTTCATCATGGAATATTAGTGTTTAAGCCTTTTTATTATATCCTTACTCTGTCCTAGACATTGAGTTCTACCTGGATTCTTCCTCTTGGAAATTTTTTTTTTTGAAAATATACATGTATGGGTATTTTTTATATATATTTTGCATATGTATATGTATTTTTTGAAAAATATATATTATATATATTATCTATCTATCTATCTATCTATCTATCTATCTATCTATAAATATATATATATATATATATATATATATATATATTATTTATTTAAAAAAATGATTCCAACACGCTACATAAGAGTTCTCATGTTTCAAAACAAGAGTCGAAAACTTCAATATAATTATTTGAATTAAATTGAATTAAAGTATAAGCTCTGTTCCATCTTCAAGCGAAATTTTTTTTTGGAATAACTTATTTCTGAAATTTACGTGTTTTATAAGCATATTCATTATTAAAATCAAAATTTCTATGGTAACGGCTAGAGCAATTGTTTAAAGAAAAAGGGGCGTGAGGTGTTAATAATTTGCATCAATATCTCGGTTACATTCACAGATGTCAAGTCAGGGTAAAGTTAGGGTGTCTAAATTGAAAGCGGAAGAAGACATCGGCTAGTCTGGTTAAGTGTCTATGGAGATTTATTTATTTTTTTATTTTATTTTTTATTTTTTTCTGAAAGGGTTTTGTGTATATAAAAACTGTTGTAAATCGATAACATTTGTTTTTTGACGACTTCATAAAGGGTTATCATTTTTTGTAGGGCATTTAAACTATTTATTATGACTATGGATTTTTAAAATTATTTTATTGTTTGTTTGTTTTTATGCTAATTATTCAATGCAAAAATTTGATGATGTCGGCAAAAAACCGTTAACTCATGTCTATTGTTTAATAGATTTTTATTATTTAGAAACTTAATAATGTGTAGTTTTTCATGTAGGCATAAAGGGCATGGGTCATGCCAAGTTTGTACAAGTTCTAGTTTTGTTTATAATTTTCCATTTTACTTTTGGTGTTTTATTCATTTCCTTCAAATGCCAAAAATATTTAGATAGAGATGTCTGATTTCTTTTATTTATATTGTTGAAAAGAGCACTTATATATATATATATATATATATATATATATATATATATAGAGAGAGAGAGAGAGAGAGAGAGAAAAGTTATTCTAATGTTATTACAGATTTCTTTCTGGAAGGACGATGGGGGTATTTGAAACTGTCCGTAATGATTGTTGTCTCAAACGTTTTCGGCTAATCCATTAACCATTTTAAAGGGGGTCCGTTGTTCATGTTTTTCCCCATTCATGTTCTAAGGTGTCTTGTGTAGAAATAACATTAATGTTAGGCCTGCGCGAGAGAGATGCCGCCATGGCTTTATGTTTAAGTGTCTTCTGAGAAGACTGCCATCAGATTCGAACTAATTTTAAAGTTAAATAAAGTGCGGTTGATGTTTGGTTTGAACGTGAACATTGAAAAACATTCACAAGCGAACACTTGAAAATATCCAATGAATGGCCGAAATCGCTTGGTCCAATAATCATTACGGACATTTCCTGAGCTGCCTTCTTCCTTCCAAAATGGAAACTGTAAAAAGAGAAAAAACTTATAAAAAAATGTCATAAAATTTTCCTGGTCTGTCACATTCAATGCGACATTAAACAAAAAGTTTGTTGGCCTAGTAAACAATATATAAACAGTGCGGATATAGGAATCAACACTGCTTGGTGACTGTCACTTTCATTTCTCGGTGCAATCCTCAGATCATATATAATGTATATTTAGATGGCCAGAATTCAAACATGTTTTATTAAATTAATGCGACAAGATAATTTTGTTTAATATTTTATTTTTCCAATTTTCTAATGAGTTGTTGCGTACCCAGGGGAAAATTGTAGATAAACGGTCCAAAGTTTAATTTTTTGCTTTGTTTTTGTGAGAGTAAATTTCACCGTCTGAACGATTCTTTTTTTAACGTTTCACAATATTTTACAAAGAAAACAAAAATATTTAGTTTTCTTTTGCTTGCTTTAATATATATGTATTTTAATCCAAATTTATCCTCTATCGAAAAACCTTGTATGAGTTGCTGCATTGACTCAGAAAAGATTAGAACCCGACGCAAGGGTCGCAATTTAGGGCCTCATTTGAAGATATTTCCCTATTTCAAATTCTCACCG